TTAGACGATGCGCCCTCGGCGCTCAGGAATCACGCCCTCGCTTTGGCCTTTCCAAATGCTTACTCGGGAATCGCGCCATCGCTCGAAACTTCAGCGAGACTCATGCAAGGGCCCACGCATCAGCAACCCGCCTGCTCGACCTGGTCGCCGGGGCCCGCCTTCCCGACCTGCCCGCCATGAGTCTGCCCGCCCGATCTGCCTGGGTGGTTCTGCCACTTGTTACCGACCCTCCTTTGTTGGGTACTCCAGATGTCGTAATAAAGGGAGGTGGGTTTCATTTCGGGGGGGCTTCCAGGCCATCTTGGAGGGCCTGGGGGGTCTGGGGACGATGTTTTGGAGGGTTCTCCCACGAGGGGGGGTCTGAAATGCCTTGTCTGGGAGGGTCCAGACCCCCTCCCTTTTATTACGAAGTCTGGAGTATTCGTCTTGAGTAGAGCACTGCGGTTGCGTCTCCTTCCCCCTCTGCCCGCCCCCCCTCTTGCCCCCTCGTGCCGCGTGCGCACCCTTGGCGGGCATCTTGCCTGCGGCGCCTCGTGCGCGGGCATCTTGTCTGGGGGGGGGGGCTGCGCTACGGGGGCAGCATAATGGGTGGCCGCAGCAGGTCCAACGTTAAACCTCGCCACTTTCGAGGGCTGCGTGGGGGGCCAGCTATAATGCGTAGCCGCCGCAGATCCAACATAGACCTCGCCACCCCTGGGGGGCTGCGGTTTGCGAAACGGTCGCCGGTTCCGAGGGCTGCTTTGGGGGGCCGCGTAGCGGGTAGCCGCCGCAAATCCAAAGTAGACCTCGCCATCTCTGAGGGGGGGTGCGAGCTGCGAAACTGTCGCCACTTCCGAGGGCTGCTTGGGGGGGGAACATAACGGGTAGCCGCCGCATCCCCCAACTTGGACCAGGCTGGTTTGGGGGGCAGCATAATCGGTGGTAGCCGCAGCAGATCCAAATTCGACCGCGTCATCCCTGGGGGGCTGCGATTTGTAGAAAAATCGCATTGCCCGGGGCGGCAACATATATGGGTGGTAGCCGCAACACATCCAAATTCGACCTCGCCATCCGTGGGGGGGGTGCGATCTGCGAAACTTTCGCCACGTGCGAGGGCTGATTGGGGGGCCAGCGTAGCGGGTAGTCGCAGCAAATCCAAAGTAGACCTCGCCATCCCTGCGGGAGGGGGGGGGAAAAAGGGGGGGCGATTTCCGAAACTGCCGCAGCTTTCGAAGGCGGCCTGGGTGAGCAGCGTAGTGGGTGGGTTAGCCACCGCAAGTCTAAATTAGACCTGGTCACCCCTGGGGGGCTGCGACCTGCGAATCTGTCGCCACTTTCGACGGCTGATTGGTGGGCCAGCGTAGCGATCTAGCGGAATGAAGCACCGCGCAGATCTGAGCGAGACCTCGCCGTCCATGGGAGGTTGCTATCTGCGAAACCGTCGCCACTTTCAAGGGCTGCTGGCGGGACCAGCGGAATGAGGCACCGCGCAGACCTGAGCGGGACCTCGCCGTCCTTGGGGAGCTGCGATCTGCGAGCCCGTCGCGACGTTCGAAGGCTGCTGGCGGGTCCAGCGGAGTAAGGCACCACGCAGATGTGAGTGGGACCTCGCAATCCCTGGGGGGCTGCGAGCCTCGCGAATGCCGCTCGCAGACGTATATGCGTCCATGCCACGTCATCACCTCATTATATAACGTCACCCAAGCTACACACGCACCGCATTGCGCAGGGGTTGGGTACGTCGCCAAGGAAAGTTTCTGCGAATTGCCCCCCTTCTGCAAATTTCTCTTGTGTTCCATTTCTTTCCCTCCCCCTTCCACCCGTTCTCTCTTCCCATGTAATGAGAGCTGCGCTACATGCGAGTGGCAGGCAAGGGAGATCTTTCCCCTGGGGGGGTACGATCGAAGACGACGAGGGCTGGTACCGAGGCTTTGGGATAGACGGAGTGACTGGCACGTGTGCAGATAGGAGCGCAAAATTTGGAGATGATTGTTGAGTTCTCCTTTCTGAAGAATGATTATTGTTGATCCCCCCCGTCCGGTGCACATGATTTTTTTCCGATTGAAGTGCCATTCCCAGGGCTCGCACCCTGTGTTTTATCAAGGAAAGTATTGAAGCTCAAACTGTGTCGTTGGCCCCCGGTGTACAACAACAACGGCTCCCGCCTGAGACTTCCTCACAATTTAGCCAGGACCTCCGCTCCCGCCCGAGACTTCCTAGCGTTTTATTCAGGAATAGCGCTCTCGCTTGGGACTTCCTTAGAATATATTCTCCCGGCGCTGTGGAGTCGCGCTCTCGCTGGAGATTTGCTTGCAATGCACTAAAGAATAGCGCCCTTGCGTTGGAATTTCCTCCGATTTACTCGAGCGCCGCGCTCCCGACACCCAGGCACCCAGGAGTCGCGCTCACGATTAGGACTCCCTCACAGATTACATAGGAATCGGGATCTCGCTGCCCTTCGCGGCCCCGTTGCAGCCCTTCGTGGCTCCCTCGCTTTGTTCCGTGGCCCCGTTGCAGCCCTTCGTGACCCCCTCGATTTGTTTCGTGGCCCCGTTGCAGCCCTTGGTGGCCCCCTCGCTGCCCTTCGTGGCCCCGTTGCAGCCCTTCGTGGCCCCCTCGCTGCCCTTCGTGGCCCCACGTGAATGCCGTTCGTGGCCCTCGCTCGTTCGCACCCGTGGTGGCCCCATATGCATCTGTCCTGCGTGGCCCAGTTGCTACCCTCAGTGGCCCCATCGTTGCCTTCTGTGGCCCCGCATTATCTGCCCTTCGTGGCCCCCGCTCGTTCGCGCTCTTCGTGGCCCCATACGCATTCCCTTCGTGTCCCCGCTGTTGCCCTTCGTGGCCTACTTCGTGTGATTGTGTCCATGCTGTCGTTCTCGTTCGCTCTCGCTTTCGCTCGTCGGCGTCGTCGCCGTCGTCGACGTCGTCGTCGTTGTCGTCGTGGTCGGTCCCCTGTCCGTCCCTCTTGGGGTCGGGTCGACGGTCCGCGGCCGCCCCGCCGCCGATCAGCGCCGCCGCTGGCCAGGCCGACGGTCCGCGGCCGCCCCGCCGCTTGCTGGGGCCTGGTCTGCAGGGAAGGAAGGTATACCCTCCAAAAGGCGTTCGATCGAAGACGAAGAGGGCGGGTATCGAGGGTTTGGGGAATATGCGTTATTGGACACTCGAGCAGATCAGGGCGAACAGTCTTAAAATGATTGCTGTTGTTGTTGGTCCTGTTGCTGTTTGGGGGGGGGGGGGGCGGCCCGGGCGCGTGGCTCCTTCCTACTCGAACACCATCGACAACACCACCAACAACAAAACCAACAACAGCAGCACCGCCAACAACAATACCACCACCGACAACAACACCAAACACACAAACACCACTACTAACAACAAGACCATCAACAACACCAACAACACCAACAACACCAACACTCATCTTAATACTGATCTCTCATATCTGCCCACGTGCCAACCACTACGTACAGCTTAAATCCTCCGTACCCGCCCTCGTCGTCATCGATCGTACCCCCTTCGGGGCATATCGTCCTAACCTGCCACGCGCAGTTAGTACCGCCCGCAAAACAAGGGAAGAGAAGGCGGGTGGAAAGGGGGAAGGCGAAAACATGGAGCGCGAGAGAAATTAGCAGGAGGGGGGCAAGGCGAAGACAACAAGTGGTATAGCCAGACAGGCAGATCGGGTGAGCAGACCCATAGCGGGCAGGTCGGGAAGGCGGGCCCAGGCGACCAGGTCGAGCAGGCGGGTTGCTGAAGCGTGGGTCCTGCTTGAATCGCGAGGAAGTCTCGAGCGATAGCGCGATTCCCAAGCAAATCTTTGGAAAGGCCGAAGCGAGGGCGTGATTCCTGAGCGCCGAGGGCGCATCGTCTGAATAAACTGCGAGGAAGTCCCACGCGAGAACGAGACGCGTACATGACTTGTGAGGAAGTCCAACGCGAGATCGCGATTTGGGAAGACATTGTGACGAAATACCAGGCGGGAGCCGTTGTTGTTGTTGTTGTTGTTGTTGTTGTTGTTGTTGTTGTTGTTGTTGTTGTTGTTGTTGTTGTTGTTGTTGTAAGTCGAAACCAACAACACAGTTTGAGCCCCGTGACTTTCCCCGATAAAGACAGGGTGCGAGCCCCGGGGGAAGCAGTTCAATTGAAAAACGCAGTTGCCGCCGAAGGGGGGGTGATCAAGAATACGTATTCTTCAGTAGTGAGAGTTCAACAGCAACACCAACCGCAACACCATCAACAACAGCAACAACACCAACAGCACCATCAACAGCACGGATCACAATAACAACACCACCACCACAAAACAACACCAACACCAACAACAACACAAAACCCCCAACAACACGGACAACACCAACACCATCAGCAACAACAACCACGCCTACAACAATAACGACAACAACCGACACGACATCAACATCAACAACAACAGCAACAACACTTAACTACAACAACAACAGCAACATCGCTCCGTGGAAACCCACTTCAGCCAAGAACCCAGGGACACATAATGACCCTTCGGCCCCCTCACTCTGATAATGAGGATAGGGAGGAAACATCAGGACGAAGAAGAGCCAAAAGGAGGAGGAGGAAGAGGATGGCCGACATGAGGAGAATAAAAAGAGGATGAGGAGGAGGAGGCGGAGGAGGAAGAGGAGGGAGGATGAGTAGCAAGGAGACAGGGACAGGAGGAAGGATGGAGGCGGAAGAGGAGGAAGGCGGAGGAGCGGGAATGACGGGGAGGGGGAGGAGGAGGAGGGGGAGGAGGAGGAGGAGGAGGAGGAGGAGGAGGAGGAGGAGGAGGAGGAGGAGGAGGAGGAGGAGAGGAGGAGGAGGAGGAGGAGGAGGAGAGAGGAAGAGGAAAAGGAGAACGAGGAGGAGGAGGAGGAGGAGGAGGAGGAGGAAAACGAGGAGGAGGAGCGGCGGGGGAGGCGGACGGGTGGAGGGCCGTGCAGTCAGCAACACGGGCCGCCCACAAGGGGGCAAGCGGTAAGCGAGTGGGTTTTTGTGCAGCCGGCCACAGCTCGAGGGTCTGCAGGTGTTTCGTCTTGCCGGGGGTGCGGCTCATGGACACCTGGGCGGCCCCTCGGTCAAGGGTGGAGGAGGAGGAGGGGGAGGAGAATCGAAGGAGGAGGGGGAGGAGGAGGAGGAGGAGCAGGAGGAGGGGGAGGAGGGGGAGGAGGGGGAGGAGGAGCAGGAGGAGCAGGAGGAGGGGGAGGAGGAGGAGGAGGAGGAACAGTAGGAAGACTTGGACGAGAACGACGAGGGTCGAAGAAACTGGGTTAAGTGGATGTGAAAGATTGGTCTTCCTGGAGGCGGAACGAATGTGTCTAAGGCGTGGCACAGGCGGGTACGGGCGCAACACTCGCTGAAAAAGGCAGCAGAAGCAGGCAAGGATGGGGCGAACAAACAAAACAAGTAAGTTTCGAGTCTGGTGCTCAAGCAGGTTTGTCCTGTCCTCGACGGTGCTAGTTGTTGCGGACAGTGCTCCGCTAACCGCAGTCGCGGAACAAACAGTCGCGGAATCAATGCCTGCAGCGGCCGCTCTGCCGACCGCGCCCAAGAGACCACTGGTGGGGCGCAGGCTCAGTGGTTGCTGCCGCTTACTGGACGCAGTCAGCTGGAGGACCACCCAAGCGAATGCTGAACATCCACGTAATTAACCGCGGTTGTCCGCAAAGTTTGGCGATCTCGCGATTGCTGGGTAAGTCGACCTGTGTCCTGGCGACCTGAGCGACATTGGTCGACCTTGTGACACAGTCACACGAATCGCCTCTCACTGCTGGGTGAGGGGGTTGCGTTGGGAGTTAGGGGCGGCCTTCTTCTTCTTCTCGGCGGCTACCGGCACTGCGGTGAGTGTGCACTCCGCAGGTTGTGACCTCATCATAAGCGCAGTTCGCTTGGCCGAAGACGCTCCCGATGCGGCTGATTAGTTGGTCGACGTGCTCCTTGTGACCAGCGATCTCCAGATTGCAGACATGCTTGAACCAGCTCGAACATGGCCCCGACGCGCCAATGCAACGTGCGCCCGACGTCTCGTGCTTGACCTCGAGCTCCGGGCCCCTCCTTCTGCCCGGGGGGGTTGGCGCCGCGCCCCAGCGAGCGCGTGGCCCCGGCGCGCTTCGCGGGCGAGGCTCGGGGCGCATCCTTGCAGCCCGTGCCCGGCTTGATACAGCGCAAGCACTCAGCCTGCTCATCGCGGCTCTCGCAGTCGGGCACCCGCCGAAGGATGGCTGCGCTGCTGGGAGGCAGGGCGAAGTTGACTTGGCGGGGCGCTTCAACTTGTTCCTGCATCTCGGCGTTGGTCACGCCTTGCACAAGCACAAGCGCCCCCACCGACGTCCGCGGCGACGTTCGCCCCGTTCGTGCGAGGCGCCGCCGCGGAGGGCAGCGGGCGCCGCGACGCCCGCTTCGCTGCCCCAGCGAACGTCTCCGAGCCTCTGGCGCCAATGTCGCGGAAGCCCCTCAGCGCCGCGCGGCGGCCGATGATCCCGGCGGTCTCGCCGTCTGATCCCCTCCTGCGCATCCACTTGAAGACGCGTCTGGAGGCCTTTGCATCCTTCAGAGGTTTTCCCTCGAAGCGTTCGTTTTTGACCCAGGTTGTGACCTCTTCGAATCTGGCCGCTGCGACCTTCTTTGACAGCCTCGACGCGCGCTGGATGGCCGCGGTCTCAGCGGCGGCATGAATCTCAAGCGCGGCAGCCCTGGGATCGCTAGCGACGCAGTCGGTCCGCGCTGCCTCGCCGAAGCTCGAGAATGCATCGCGCACCCCTGGATCAAGATGCAAGTCCGCATGCCCCCCCCCTTCGCCCCCCATCCTCTGGCGTGGCGTAATCTTCCGCGGAGGCCCCGCGCAAGCAGTGGCGCCGCTGCGCGTGGATGCTCGGGCGCCGGCGCTGCGCCTCGACGCGCCGAGGCCACGGGCGAGGCCCGAGGTCGAGGCCGGCCGCGGCGAACTCGACAGCAACGCAGATATTACGCCCACTGTCGGTGCTATCCAGCTCCTCGAGCTCCTGGCCAAGTCCTCGCGCTTGCTCGTCATCGCGCCAGGCTGCCAACGTCATCTGTTGGATGTGGCCAATGACCCCTTGTCTGTCTCCTCGGTTATAGCCAACAGGGCCGATGGTCAACCGCCCTCGTTGGATCTGGCGGCGCCCTCGGAACTGTCTACGACCATGACGCAGTTATCGAACAATCCGTCGAAGTCTTGTCAGGCGTCTGCTACCAGCCATGGCGCGTCACCGACATTACGATCAAGGACGCGGGCCCCCTTCCAATGCTCGCCAATAAACACACGGCCGCCGAACTTGACGCCTTTGATGCTGGACGCCGCCCGGGTTCCGAAGTGGGCCGCCACGTTGCCGAGCTGCGGGTGCAGCCCAGCCTCGCACATTAGACGTAAGGCGCGAACGTTTGGTAGCTGAAAGCACCCGCGGGACGGATGGCGCAGGGCTGCAATGGTGTCTGGGCAAGACTGGGCCTGCTCGGTAATCTGCGTACCCTCCGCGCCCTCCCAGTGGCCGAAAGCCCTGGCCCCCGATCTTGACGCGACGTGTACCAGGCAGTCCCCCGCGCGATCCCAGGTCAAGCCTGCTCGCGCCACGCCCGCGCCCGCGTCGTCGAAGACGGTGCCCATGAACGCCCGGGCGTCTGGCAATCGGCGAGCCATCTCGGCCCGGCGGTACTGGACCGCCACGTGGCCTCGCGCCGGGCCTGCAGCAATGACGGCCCCAGGGCCGGCCCCTCCCGACGCGGCGCCCTTCGTGCTCAAGGTCCTGTGGATCTCCGCCGCATCGCCAATGCTGACGCGGCCCTCTGTGGACCTGGTGGCGCGGGTCCGGAAGGCGCGGCTGGCGCGAGAGATCGACGTGGCCTAGATCATGCTTTGCAGAGCGATCTCTCGGATGCGCCAGTGCAATCGGCCGGGCACCATTTTGTCGCAAGCGGAAGTCTCAGCACTGGCACCGCAGGCACAAAAATACCTCGCCCTCTTTGCTTCGAGTGGCGGCAGCATGAACGGCTGCCGTCCGAAGACGACATTGCATAGTGTAGCGTCGCCCGCGTGGGTGAGGCTACTGCCAACAAAGATAGCGCGCACCAGCATCGAGTCGATGTTCATGTGACACCTTCGCACTCGAGCTGCTCTCCTGCGTTGTGAAACGCGCGCCGTGGCATGGGGCTACGTCGCACGACGAAGCGAGCGCGCTGGCGAGGTGCTCGAATATACACCTGTACTCCTAGCCTCTTCATCTCCTCAACCAATTATGGTAAAGTCACCCTGCCCTCGCCGTCCACGATGAACGCCGCCATCACGCCGATCAGCCGAATACATGACCGGTCGATGGCGGCGCGCAGCGCCGAGTCGTGCTTGGGCGTGATCTCCGCGCCACCGTGAGGCGCATCCGATCTGGTGGAAAATCATGCAATCCCTGTGGTGTAAGAGTATCGCGCTCGACGTGCTGGTTGAATCGTGTCGCAAGGCGGACTGTAGGGGTCGTCTGGTGCGCCCGCCGCAGCCCCTTGCGCGCCCCCTATGGTTGTTGACCGCCGCGGGGATGAAGTCGAGGATGCCGCGTGGCATGTTTGTTGGCTGCTCGTAGTGCTCGCGCCATGTCCTCCTTAGTGGCGCGCCACCAGCGGAGGTGCAACTTGCGCAGTTCCCGCGCGCGTCTGATGCGAGCCACTGCGAGGTGCTCGTCAAGATGCGGGCGAACCCAGTCTGTGGGCATCGGGTTGCCTGGATCTGCGTCGGCAGCTCCTGGCGCTGACCGTCGGGGCTCGGCCCCCGCCGCTGGAATGGCATCCCTGGTCGAGCGACACGTTCGCCCGATCCGCTACTCTGAGGTCGAATGACGCAGTCGCCCGAACCGCAAGCCTGAGAACCAGCGATAGATGATGAGCTGGCCCCTGATCCTCCCGCGGGCGCGGGCGCCAGCGCAGGCGCGCCTGCTGCTCTGCGCCGATGGGAACTTGAGCTTGCTGGTCGCCGGAGTGATGTGGCCCCCATGGTCGCGCTGGTGCTCGCGGGCGCTGGGCGGCGCGCGGGCGCGGCCGCGCGTGGGGATCCGCCGGAATGCGCGCGCCAGACGCGCGGGCGTGCATGGGGCGGTCGCTCTCCTTCTCCTCCTGGCAGCCGAAACACTCCCGATGTCTAGGGGCTGTCGCTGGATCCCATAGAAAGCACGGGCGCGTCTGCCACCGCGTTGCGCTTGCGCGCCTCACAAGTGTTGCGCGCTGTCGGCCGCCACTACGCATCTACTCTCGCGCTCCGCGGATGCCGCGGCCACTATTGAGTGGCGCCTCGGACGGCGACGTGAGTCCACGATGCCCTGGACGAGTCGCTCGGCCATCGTCCACGGACGAGTCCGAGCGTCGAAACAGGTGAGAGGTTCAACGTGGGCATGGGCGCGCTTGCCCGGGCATCATCTGAGGCGCGCGAACTGCCGGTCGATCTCCAGAACACTGGAGACCAGCCTGGCGGTCTTCATCCAATTCCTTCACAACGATTTTAAAGCCCAGGCTGCATTGGTTCGGAGACGAACTTGCCCGCGCCCGGTACTGACAGCACCTCTTGCCATGGTGGCTCATCGCACAGTCATGATGGTTCGGGCTGCTCGCTGGCGACGTAGCCGCCTAGCACAAGCTGCAGCTGTGCAAAAAAGCCGCAGCATCGACCATGGGGGGCCGCGCCCGCGGAAAAACGCAGCCAGAAGCGGTAGCTCCGCTTGTAGTTGAAGGTTGCCCAACGACCAGAGGACCGACAGTTCGGAGTCATGATGATAATTAATGGCCTGTGCAGTCGAATGTATCGTTCCACGGCTCGCTGCTGGCTCTCGTCGCGGAAGTCGCGGCCAGTGGCCGCGTCTAAAATCTCGCCAACTTCAAGGCGGCGGAAAGCCAGTCGGCCAACCCGCGCCTCCCCGCCGCAGACCTCCATGATGTCGACGCCGGAATGGCGTGTAGTGATCGAGGTAGGTGAGAAACTGGCGATACAGTCGCACCGCGTGGACTGTGGCGTTTGAGCAATGGCCGTTTGGCGGTCAACGTCTGGTTCGGGGGCCAACGAGCCCCGGA